GACTTGTTCATATTTGTTTGGAAATCATACCAATAGGAATAAGTGGTGCTGCTTTTTGTGATCATATATGATTCAATGGTATAATCTCTGTTGGGTCAGATTGTGGAATTATTCATATGTTTAGCTGAAGTGATCTCTATGACAACTGGGCAGATGAAGACAGTGATGATGAAAACTCCAGAGAATCACACAATATTATTTGACAGATGATTACAAACACATTAAGACACAGACATTACTATAGAGGGGGAAAAAAACGTATTTAAATTAAAGAACTGAATAACATTGCACCACCTAAAGAGCAACATGACATGAAATGGACAGAATCACTTAGTTCTCACTTGTCTCAAATGATTAAGATGATAGATGCCTAAAGATATATTTTGGGGTTAAATTCTGCTTCAGATATGTTTTCAAATAAGACAAATGTAAAACAAAGTGATAGAATAACTATAATAACCATCAAATGCCTGTCTGCCATGTCGGCTATTTGATTTATATATTTACCTTTCAAAGAAATGTCACTTTTTGCTCAGTAATTTAAAATTTAAAATAAAAATAAAAACATTAGTATATCTTATGATTGTTTCTGTGGATGTCTGTCAGTGCATGTGTCTCTTTTTACTTCCTCTAAACTAAATAACCCTTAGACTGAATGAAGATGTATTGTGCTGTATTGATTAATCCCACTTGAGGGAAATGTCAGAAAAAGACAGTGTGAGAGTAATAATAAATTAGTAAGGACTCCCTCTGAAGACAAGCAGTGGACAGAGAATAAACCAGATCAGGTGAAGGAACACAGACAGAGAAACATGTAGAAAAATACATGTATTTATTAAATTATTATTAAAGTGAGTGTCTGTGAGGCGGGGTCAGTATTTGGCAGCTGCCTCCCGCTGTGTTCAGAGTGAGAGAGGCGGGGTCAGTATTTGGCAGGTTCGTCCCTGGAGGGTGTGTGTCTCTCTCTCTCTCTCTCGCTCTCTCGGAGTGTCTCTCTCTCTCTCTCTCTCTCTCGCAGTGTGTCTCTCTCGGATTGTGTGTCCCTGTGAGTGTGTGTTTGTGAGTGTGTGTGTGTGTATGTGTTTATACACTCGCCAAGCGACGACCTGCAAACAGCCATCTGAGTCCAGTCCGAGCTAAAAAAAAAAAAAAAAGAAGCAGAAAAACAGGAACCACATTATTTTCGAGTATCTTTATCATGATCTCGACGAAGCCGGTCCTCCTCCAGCTCTGATCCCGTCGAGTTCGTCGTCTCTCCGGACGTCGGCCACAAGAACTGGACCAGAAATTGATGCACCTCGCTCCGCGGTGCTGCTTGTTTTGACCGGGTAAGGTAGCCGCTGCCCCCGGAGCGCCCGACTAGCTTCCCCGCGACTAGCAGCTAATGCTAGCAGGCTAAGCTAACTGTGTCAGACGCTCGTGTGTGGTGTCCCTGGTTGGTTTTAGGACACTTGTGACTCGCGGATTTATTCCCCGTGTCCACATCTTCACCCGGGCAGTCGTTTGCAGCAGAGTGCCGCGGGTGTTAAGTGTCATCCGCGGCTTTATTTGTGTTGACTGGGAGCTAACGGCTAACGGTGATTTCCATCACAGCTCCTCCGCAGGCACAGGAAGCTAACTCGGAGGCAGAAGAAGAAGAAGAAGAACAACTGCCCGTAATAATTCGTTATTCTGGATTATTCTCGTCTTTAGTGGCTCAAAGATAAACTGAGCGATTCCTCTTGCTTTCACATTTACTGACATTTGACACGATGGTTGTGTTCGAGGGTGTTTTGACCGGTTTTGTCGCTGCTGAATGAGGGAGCTGGGATGCTGCTGCTCGCCCCAGAATCACCTGGACTTCACGGTGAATCGTTGAGATATTTGCGTCCGGTGCTTCGTGAATGTGGAGTTTCTGTTCTCTTGTCGAGCTGCAGCTTGTGTAGTTTCGTTTTGTGGCTGGCTCTCCTCAGCCGGGTGCTCGGTCGCAGTGCTCGGTCACAGTGAAGTGTCTTGTGCTGGAATGTTCTGTGGCTCAGCGGTGATCAGACTAAAGCTCCTCGCTCTCAGATCTGTGTGTTTCAGATGATCCTGAACGTGCAGCCCTTCTCTCCTGGGCTCTCTGGACATGACATAATGTGGCCGTGGCTCTGCATTAGGATGGATTGTTCTCCATATGTTGTGCCACATAAACACGAGTGAACGAACCGTCACGCGTTACAAATGTGCACCAGAGGACATTGTTGTGCACACTGACATAACTGAGCTGCTGGAATGAAACGTGCAGAGGTAGTGTGTCTATCTATCTATCTATCTATCTATCTATCTATCTATCTATCTATCTACCTTTAAACCCAAATATATTATTAATGCATGTTTGTGGAAATATAATATTACATATACAATATCTAATGAATAACCTTGAACAACTTAATTGACTATCAAAGCAGCCACTGATTATCTTTGTGTTGATTGAGGAATTATTATTGACTGACTAATGTAAAGACTTTGACTCAAGTCAATTATTACAGGTGTAATGATGCATTATTCACTATATATTTGATTCAAACAATAGTTGGTTAATCGGTAGTTTAAAGTGGTTATTGCTGTCCTGAGGATTAGTGTATCAATGATAGATGCAGTCCTACAATATTGTGAACATCAAGAAGCAGAGTGATGAAGACGATTGGTTGATATATTGACATCACTTTGGGCTCTGGGAAAGTCTGATGGGAGTTTTTCAGTGTGATCGACATAGGAAGTTATTTATTTACTATATCTACAGAATGTCCTCTTAGTTAGTTTGTGGTATGGAAGGTCTTTGGTGCATATATTTTACATGCTGACTTGACAAAGGGTGTACAGTATGTGGCTTTGAGCTTGTTAAATACAATATATACTGTGCACAGTGAACCCTACTTTTAATTGTATTTGCATTATACAATTTGATTTTTATCTGAGCAACAATAACACTTATCTGAGCAGCTTGTGCAAAATCTGACCTATAGCTACCAGGCTCAGTTAAGTTTAACCTGGTAGCAAAACAGCAGTTGTTGTGCAAGAGAGAGCACATATATATCTATAGACAGACCAGAGTAAAGGTCAACTTTGCAGTGGTGCTGATGTTGGAAAAATGTTTGTAAGCTGCTGTTACACACTTCGGATTGATACTGTCGACTCTACACTCAGCTGCTTTGTTAATCCTGGTTTATGAAGACTGTTGCAAAGCTGAAATATAATATGAATGTAATTTATCTTCAAAGACAGTGTATAGGCAGCATTGTGTTCACTCCCATCAGGTGCACCTCAGCTGAACCTGTAGCCTCCTACGTGAAGGGAATCACGTATGCACATACCAACAGAGCCAAACTTCTCTAGCCTCCCGCAGTGTGAGATAAGACTGTGTATGGAAGACCACCCATCGTTTTTATATGGAAGGACAACACATGCGCACACAGCGGTCACAGCAGTGTCATAACCACACAGCTCCCTGCAGTGTGGGATTGTTGTTGCCAGGTCAGTCAGTGGTTGTTTTAGATACTGTGGACAGGTGCCAAGCTAAACCAACTGTGGTCCAAATTTCTCTAGAGTTGGACACACACTGTCGCGAATTTGCCAGATTCAGTGGGACTAATCCCAGTGTTAAGTTCAGACCTGATGAAAAATATGTTTCATAACCTCCCTTTTTGTTTTTTAAATGTCGGTTAACAGAGTACATACGTCTAGAGTAAGACTGGATAATCACAAGAAGCAAGCAATGGTTAGTATAACCTGCAATCATTATACAGATACTTCTGTTTCTGGTAAGAAGATGGAAACCCAGAGTATTGTCTCCTGGTTTGCTTCAAGCCAAAAAAGAGCTTCGGGCAGTTATGCAATGTGGAGAGTGTGTAAATAGAGATGGTCTATTAGGTGACTGAGATAACAGAGACAAATCCTGTGTTTTTTATTCGATTCCAGAATGTTAGAGAAAAAGCAGCACAATGGCAGTTTTCCTTCACATCGTATTTATACTAATGTATGTGATGCATATTCATCAATATCAAACAACTTATATTGAAAAAAAACAATACAAGAGTAGGGCTGAAACAAACAACCATTTCATTGTATGTTAATCTAAAGTAGATTTTCTGTATTGATCATTAAATATATGTCAGAAAATAATGACAGAAATGTGCAGCACAATGTATGAAAACTGCTTTTGTTCAACCAACTGTCTAAACTAAAAGATCATCACAAGAAGAAGACGAGTTATGAATTTTCACAGTTTAAAAGCTGCCGTGGGGATTGTTTGGGATTTTTGTTTAAAATGTGAGTTAAGCCACTAATAGCTTATCGAATTAGCTGCTGGTTAATTGTCCCTTGTTTGATTAGTCAACCAGTTGTTTCAGCTTTGAAAACCACCTCTAAGCCACTCTCAGCTAAGACTTGTTATTTGAAACCAAAACTTGCAGAGGTGAAAGGGGATGTTCACAAATTTCAGTATGACTAGTGAAAGTAGAAAAGTAGGTTACCTAAGAATCTATGTTTATATATTTTAATTTCTGAGCAGTTTGTTATGACGACAGTTCAGCGTTTTGGCCACAATTTGCTCAGTTCACTAATATTTTTGTGGTTGACCCCAATCAGGATAAAGCATGTGATGATATAGTGTGAGGGATTTTTAGAGATTGTGCAATGATGTTTTCTGCCAGGATTGTATTTATTAATTTTTTTATTCTCTTTTTTTATTCCTTGTTGGAGTATGTCATCGCAGACAATACAGTAAATCAGTGAGCTTTTTAACATCATTGTATTTGACCTCAGTTTGAAGAAACTTAACGATTTGTCAAGTATTTGAAGTTCCCCAAAACAGTGACCATTGAATTTCTGCAATTTCACTTCACATATATATTTATTACGAGCTAAATTTACATGATTGGACACTTAATCAACAATGTTTTTCCATTCCATAACACTTGTGCTCATGTAGCATGTCACTACTCATTGACCAGGTATTTGGTATGACATGCTTTTTTATATACCGAAGAAGCAGAAGGCCACAGCTTCACTGTACAAAAAGGCAGATGGAGAAATCCTGTCCTGAGCAGTTGACTGGGCTGAAATAATCTGAGGATGACAACATGTTCTCAGTCAGTTTAAAGCCAGAGCTCTAACTGTACAGCATCTGCTCAAGCCTCGAGAGATTGCACAGTGATGAAAGTCACATGACTGTAAAGATGTCTCACGTCATAGCCTGGATCTGCAACAACATCTTTGCATTAGGATAAGTCTGTGTATGTCTGTTTGAAGATATTTTAAAATATAAGTGTGATTGGAAACGTAAACCATCGACATATATACATATAGATATCACATCGGCCTCCTCTGTCCATTGCTGCGATCCGTGAACACATCAGAGTAAACAGAAACTGCGGTTTGTCTGGATACAAGAAGCCAATGCATCAGTGTATATATGTCTATGATTTCCACAGTGCAGGTCCAAATATACATTTAAAATTTTAATTTTGTGGATCGATCAAAATAAAAGTAGCTAGATATAGTCAGGGCACTGTCTCAATATCAAATCTCTTCCGCGCGGTGTTAGGTAGACTGATGTTAATGCGAGTACATTGGCTGATAAATTAATTTGAAAGCTTCCCTGGCTAGAGTTTGGCAGTGGTGCAGCTTGGCATGGATCAGAAACCATTGAAGCCTGTTTTCAGGCAGCAGACCCACAGATCAAATCCAGTCCACACTGCCCTGGAGCCTTTCAGGTCACGTTAGACAAAGAGCCATTGCTTACCTTGATGAATTACAATAAAGAGATGTCTTACATGGGGCAACGCTTTATTGGTCTACTTTGGCTTTTGGGTGGAACCAAATTTAAATATCATATTTGGACATTTAATTTCTTATTAGATTAACATGGAGTTTGATAAAGGGTACACATTGCAGCGTACATAGGTTTGATTAAACTATAGTGTTATAACTTCTCCAGTGCAGTGGCTGGATGTACTTCTTCTTGGTGGGTGTCTGATGTCAGATGGAAATGATGCTGATAGTTTTATTCCAAGCTGCAAACTTAAGTTCATGTCTCCTCACGATGTGAAAACCCCCAGGACATAGTATCTACAGTTTATAGAGCTTTAACTTCATCCATTTGTCTGTCCAGTTGAGCAGCATGTTTTCGGCTGTAATGACACATGAGATTGGTCTTGAGTGATCACTGTGAGTGTGTGTTTCGCAAACCAGACAGACTGGCTTGTCTTTTTTGTCAACCAAAAATACCTGTTTGTTAATTTCTCTTGGAAAGCCCTCACATTAAATAGAGGACAAATGTAAACAAAGGTGACAGAAAGCTTTAGTA